ATTATGTACAATTTAATTTTATAAAAAAAGGAATGTAATGTATAGATATGTTGAATCTTATAATTAAAATAGTATTATTAACTGTAGCAGGACGAACTTTGTCTATTTATTTCAGTTAGTAATTTTACACCAAGCAAGCTGCTTGAGCTGGACGGTGTGGTGACAGTCGTCCAAATCCTCTACATAAGAGAATCCCGTGCCTAGCAGTGGGATAATAACGGCTCGTTATAATGTACATATCATGGTGTCTCCATTTATAGCAAGCTAGAGTAAATATGTCAGTGTATGATTCAGTTTTGTGGTCATGGCTGCGGGCGACTACTGTACATTCGCAGTAAATACATTCGCATTTACGTAGTCGGTTAGTCATTGAAATAAACTAAATTTGTGGTGATAGTCAACCATAATATTAAGTCACAATACAGGGATATTAGTTATTTATGTAATAAGTTTTTACATAAATAATAAATTAATAATAGTGAAATGACACCGTAACAAATTACTCAAATCATTAATAAACCCTTTATTAATTGAGTAATTGAATACATATTATGGTTATCCGTTATCCTATTTAGGAAAAGTATAGGATAACTACTACAGGCGGCCTGGTTACTACTTTAGTTAAGATTTCCTTCTTTAAGTTTTTCCTGTCTTTTGGAAAAATCTAGAGCCTTGTCTATCTTTGTATTTCGTTTACTTAAAAAGCTTTACTCGCTGTACTCTGTTATTGGAATGGTTCACAATCTGGCCCGCCTGATGGTAAGAGGCGACGGAACTTACCACGTAATTCGCGTCTTCATTTGACGCTTGGCATCCCTCATGCGTTACCATTTCTTAGAACTGAAGTGTTCTTCTTTCTTATGAAAAATAACTGCAACTGTTACATCAGTTCAATCAAAATGCAGTTTGTAAAGCAAACTGCTGGGAGTCAGAATTAGGTGAGATAGAGGTTAGTAGAGATAGAGGTTTGTACTTACACAGACGACTTTGTACAAACCCCATTCTGATAGAACTTGTGCTGAATTACTCTACATTGCTTGCCCTACATGTTGTACATTGCTTGTCATACATGTGTACTAGGTAACTATGGTTCTTTTTCTTCTATTTACAAAAAAATGTATATCATTATCTTAAGGTTATTATCTAATGCCAGTTATTAACATTGGAAAAGTATGTCTGATCGTTGCTAAAAGTTTTGGATTTTATTGGAAACAAAATGTAAATTTCAGCTGACTGGAGATACTAAAGAAACCTACTTAATATCTTCAAATAGACCAACATTGACCAATTTCATTTCTCACTTGTATTATTTTATTTTCTCAATTAATCCAATTCCTCGAGGCGCATCGGTTTTTCATTCTTTAAAAGCATTTGCTTGTAGTTTATTTTTATTCTTTAATACATGTACTTTCCATTATTTTTTAATCAAACTGGATTATATATTTATATAAGTAAATAGCTAAAAATATTATTGTATTTTCGTCTAGGTTCACAATATTGTTCAATTCGTATCCTAATTTTCCTAATAATAAATATAATATTCGTATCATTGGTACATTTGGTTATGGTACTTTATGATGGAACCGATTTTGATGATATTTTTTTTATTGCAATTGATTATTCCAATGTTAAAACCTTTATAATATCATCACAATTATAGTCGGTTTATTAACTGGAACTTTAATTTAAGATTTTTTTAACTAATATTAAATCATTACGTGAACGTAAATTTGCAAAGATATTGCCTATTAAGAATATGAAATTGGATTTGGTATATAGGTATTATGCCGTTACGTAAGTAATTATTACAGAACTGATAATGGAATCAGGTAACATTTTCGATAATAAATGGAAATAGAAAATGAAAGAAAAGTAGTACAGGTAAGTCCGTGATATTTTTTCTTTTAGAGTGTGGCGGCGCGGCTAGCATCGATCCATGCCACCTACCTGCCGCTTGTTTCTAATTTAAAAATCTTAACTCGATTTATCGAAATATTAATGTATTACAATTGCTATTTTAATCTATATCTAATAATCACTCAATAATTTCGTATTCACTGACCAAAAACAATGAAAGTAGACGAATGAAAATTTCTAACTTATTTAATTTTTTCGTTAATAAATATTCTTAGAAATATATATAAAAATCTAACAACACACATATGTGTGTAATCCGTATATATCACGTATAATCGTTATAATCCGTATGTATGATATAAAGATATTCATAATGGAATCTTTATTTCAGTAATATGGTGTGACGACTAGGAATATATGTATATATATGAAATTTAAATAGATATATAAATCTCTAATCAGTGATTACTAAGATCGGTGGCGTATAACTCTACGTTACAACTGATTCTTTTGACTTTTACTTACATACCTAAGAGACACAGTTTCATTATATCTCTACAAGATGGCGCTATTCTATGAAGTAATTGTTGAGATATTAATGCTATTCTCCTAGTTAGTGATTTATGTATATGTGGTATATATCCAGAAGTATTTTAACTTCATGGTTACATAATTTCATTTTGATACATAACTTTAGACATTCTTTATCTTTATTTATTCTAGCTAATTGAGCTCTTTTCCAACTTCCACTAAGTGGGGTTTTAAAATATGTCGTAGATACAACTGTAAATACTACTATAAATCTGCTAAATATCAGATAATATTTTAACAATTATACTAATTAGTATTTTAGTATCCATTTAAAAGAAAAACATCGTTATAAGCTATTTAGTGTATGATCCAAAATCCAACAAATAATAAGAGACAAAATCGCAAAACATATAAACATAAAAAAAATATAATCACATTTAAAAACTTCTTGTATTGATATCGAACGAAAACAATGTCTATATACTTACATGTCTCATATAGTTTAGGTTGATGTTACCGCACTGAGCATTGCATCATCAGCCGGGTTGGTGTCGCTCTCAAAACACTATGGTGCTATCTAGTGATACTACACGACCACGTGTTCACATGTAACATGCCTACTACCCGTATAGTGCATATATAGATTCGTTTTGTTGAATTTTGTAGATGATAAACATATATATATACATATATATAGTTAACACGTCTGTAGTTGCACAAGACAAGTTGCGCTTAAATATAACCAATATGAGACTGTTGTTTAGTGCTTGACTACCCCAACTTAGAACCCAAGGGTTCTGAGTTCAAATCTGATTTATGAAAATTCTGATAACAATACATTAATCCGAGAAATGAAGGTAGGTTCATCCCACGACACGTTTGATTCAAATATACCCATGGAATTGTCTCTAGCCAAGTGTTGCGTTCAAAATGACATCGAAAATTATGTAAACGGTATATGTTTTTAATATAAATTTAATGTATAAACTTTTTATTTTTTTCTTTAGACTAACATAGACAATTTCTGTGGAAAGTTTAGATAGATATCTGAATAATTTTATATATAAGGTGTTATTTACTCAAAGGTTTTAATTAAATGCATTATACATGTTTTGTTGTAACTGAGATTTTATAAAAATATGTGCTTGAATGTGCTGGTAGCTTAATTAAAATAAAAGTACAAATAATATTGAGGCAGAACTAAAATCTTCTACTAAAAATAATGTATTGTCAAATCAACATTGTCTAAATGCAACATTGTGTCTTATTCTATAATCCAATATCCAATCCAGTTTAACATAAAGGATACTTTATTTCCGAATTTACGCCGGCAGCTGATTTCTGCTAGTTAGACAATATATTTCTTTTACAAATGTCAATTTTTCTATATAAATATTTATTGCAATGAAACACGTGTAGACATATTACCATGCACTTCACTAATCTGTACAATTTACGTTCATATCAGCTGGGCCAAACTATATGATAACGAGAATTACTATTGTTCTACCTACACTTCGGTATCGCTTAGATAAAACTCATATATTTATATGCAAGTTATTATATATAGCTACTCATTATCCACCATTTTCTTTGGTCTAGTCTTAAAATTACAATACATATTTGTTTTAATTAAAAACACGAATGTATTGCAAATTAGTAATGTAATACATATAGGTATTTTATTTTGTTTCATTTGTAATAATAGTTATTTTACAATTATTATATTACATTTAGTATAGGCAGATTTAGTTGAGCAGTACTTTGTTTCACCTATTTCCGCCGTCTAGCAGATTACTTTGAAGCTTAATTTTGGTCAAACGATGCGATATCATAGTGAATTTATAGAGTTCTGTACTCTATAATTTCACTACAATATCGCATCCTTTGACCAAAATTAATCATGGCAGTTTAGTCCTCCAGAATGGCAAATCAAAAGGTGCCGCTAGCATCATCAAATAACCTAATGTACACGATAGTGTTTATTTGCCACTTACATCAGACGACCCTTCAGATATTTCTGCCATTTCTGCTAACACAAAAATAAACAATTTTATATGAAGTCAATTATATCTGCAATTACAACTCATTAAATGTCAAAATTTCGTCAAGTTTGTTAATAAAATTCTACCAAAATTTTCACATTATTGAGCATGCAATAAATATATGTTAAAATTAATGTAATTTTGTTAACTTCAGGAGAGCTGTCATCTCTGCTTTAACAATTCCTAAAGTTTCGTAAGCCGGCAGTGATGTATGGAGCGAATCAGTGACAATAATAAGCATCAAAATAAACAGCATGATCATACTTAAAACATAAAAAAGTAGCGTCAGTAACAGTTATCTTAGACTGTATCGCCTAGTGATTTACTACCTTAAATTATGACAAAGAGGTTGAGAGATCAAAACGGTCTGAGACTAAAAAAAATCTCTGTCAATTTATATTTCTGACAGACTCTCTGGTGTAGGACTCACCGATATCAGACTGAAAATTAAGCCGAAAGATGGCTGTAGGCTCGCTCTCTGCAACGTTGGATTAAAATATTTTAAATATAACCAACAAACAACGAAAATATGGGCATATAAGTTGCGTTCACCTGAGTTCACAAGTAATACTAAAGTATAGATATAATGTCCACGAGACGACGCATTTACTTGTCAAAATAAAGGAATACATGTATGTAGTTTAGATGTCGTAAATTTAAATTTAGGAATAATTAAAAATTTTTTGGAGTTTTATCTAAACCTAAATAATAAATTAATTTAAATATTATAAATAGACACGAGGTGGATTTTAGAATCCCGGAAGCACTGCTCTGATTATAAAGAATATTTCACTCTTTGAAAGGACATTATTGCAGAGTGGGATATATAGTATGAGTATTATGTTAATATATACAAAACTTACGTTATTAGCCCCTGGGTGAAGAGCACTAGTATAATATTAGTTACTTTATATCTTAAATATATTCACTTTAGTCCACTTTTTTGTTATCTGATAATAACCAAAGGTTTTTGATCATCATCCGATACTTTCCGCTAACCCTTTTACGGCGCGACTTCAGACTACCTTCTGTCAACCCTCTTCTTTTCACTAGCATTGCTAATGTTAGAGTATAAACAGATTGCTATGGAAGGTACTCGCAGATAAACAATTTGATACCATTTGTTTTCTTTCTGATCTTTAATGTTTTTTGTTCTCACAAGAGTAACAATAACAAAACTTCTTATTTAAAAACAAGAAGATCTCTTTTATAGTATTCAAATAGCAAACAGGATTCTTCTGCCTGATGGTTAGTGATAATCATTTAATATATACTCACCATCACTCTGTATGATATTCGGTATCTCATGATACCGTGTTTGCTTCTATTTTAGTCTCATTCATACTTCTTGGATGAATAGATATAATTTAATATACAGTACCGCGTTAGATCTTGCACAAAGACGTTCATCGTGTTACAAAGCAAGCTATCATGAAGAAGAAGAAAGGAAGGAAGGAATGACAGTGAATATATAGTGAATGGAGAAATGACATCTTCACCGTAGCGCCTCTGATGTCTTGCCATCCTCCAGAAAGGCAAGACATCAGAGGCGCTACGGCCTTCCCTTGACGATGTAAAGTGCGTGTATTGCTCATATGTATAGAGTACATATATTACATAAATAAAGTAATGCATATTATGTTCTTAGGTACTTACGTATTATATGAAATATTTATTAGACGTCCGTATATGTCTATGAAAGAATTTTCTCGTAGGTACATACCGACGAGCATGCATAAAGGGATCTACTAATATTAGGAAAGTAAAAGAAATATGACAGGATAGGAGCAAACATGTTTTGTGGTCTTTATCTACATGGTGGGAAAAATACATGAGATTATGAATATATAAATAAAGTATAGTGAAAAGCGAGAGTTGAGTAAGTAAATAATAATAATAATAACCCTTTTCACACTACGCCATCTAGTCCCAAGTGAAGCAGAGTTTGTGTTGATAATAAATAACTGATACAAATAATTATATACATTTTTTTTGGAAATACATTACATAATAAACATAGAAAACACCCATACCGATAGAAACAATCGTACTTATGAATAAAAATGTTTGTATCGTGTGAGGAATCGAACCCGCGACCATAGGGAGTAAGGCGATGTGCTAGACCACCGAAGCCGTCTAAATAAGGTGTCTCTAAATAAAAATAAAGATATGACTAAATATTTATTGCTATGCAGTTTTGTGGCTTAACGATTTTATTTTTTTTTTGTAGTAAATTATCTGTAAAGGAATAAAACAAAAATACTTTTCAAGACGTAGTCAAATAATAACACAACTTAATATTTTGATGAACTTGCTTGCTTAAAATGCTACTATAGACTACATTGAATATCTATATACATCTCTTCTGTAGAGTTAAACATCTCGCTTTATTGTATGAATACTACCAGATCAATTTTGTATAACCTGCTAATTTATACACATCTAATAAATGTGATATAACTCGTAAATATAAATCTAAAAAAATAAGGACGTTTGTAACAGCGTCTAAATATTTAATAATATTATTAAGGTATATATCTCGTTTATATGATGTGTACAATTGTAAACAACGGTGAAAAAAAAAATTTCAACAGTGTTTAAAATGCTGAAATTATTACACTGAGCGGTTAATATAAACTAACAACGAACTAGCCCGGTTTAATAGACAAATTGTATGAAATAATTCATGCTATTATAAATGTGGTTACCTAAACCAGGTTTCTTTGTTCCCCAGATTAGGGGCAAAGGGGATTGTCAGTACTGTGGACTAATGATCTTATTCCTAGCAATGTACTAGCATGCCAGCTTGACCTTTAAGCAGACCCCCTGAAAACCATCGTGATAAATTCTTGGTGAATTTGTCACAATGGGCCAACTGACCTGACCTCATGCTCATCTTATCATCCTCCACTGGTGCCCCGCCAGCGTAAACCGTTAACGCTGGCATGTGCACCATTCCTTGTTTTGTTGTAATGAAACGGTTGTTTTGCAATTCGTCAGTCAGTTCGTTGGTTACCATTGATGAAATAGATGGCGTTACTTGTTGAGGTTAGAGAATTGTTCTTGTTACTAACGCGCTCCTAATAATAGATAGAAAAATAAACACATATCTATATTCAGTGGACAATGAATAGGTAACACACTGATCAAACCCACCGAAATTGAAAAGGTGCAAATCAGAGATGATCTATACAAGTAATAAATGTAGAAAAGACCGTAGGCCTGGCACTTTTATAATTGTCTTTGGTGGTACATATAAACTTTTATAATTTTGCTTACAATTTCTGTACAGCATAACATACGGAATCAAATTAAAACATATGTTAAATATGTATGTTTTAATTAATTTACATTCAAGTTGCTTATTAATTTACACGCTGTTCCTTCACGCCCTGTAGTATCCCCTCCGATCGATTCACCGTACAATTCAAACGGGGATCGAAATTATGACGATCTAAGCCGAGGTTCGAACCCCTAGAGGTGCCCTCAGACTAAAGTCGTATCCGTAAGGCGGAAGTTGCCTTCAGCCGCTCCATAAGTCCTTTCGCGGGTTTGGAGTGCCATCTGCACTCGCCCCCGATCGTCCGGTGTAGCTGTAAAGGCCAGCTTCGAGCAACAGCATTATATACAAAAAAATATATTATAGCATTTTAATGTACGAAATTTTTTTATAAATAACATTCCCCTATAATAAATTGTTTTGTAAAATACAGCGAACCTCACAATTCAACTATGTTTGGTGGTTTGTTTTGCTGAATATTTATTGTTTTTTGAAGATTTTTATGTTTTAATTGCAAATTACATACAATAATATGTCTGTACAGTAATTAGTCTGTATTTATTTTTATTTCTTTTTTATTCTTATTACATAACATATAACCCTTACTTACATATACTATAGAATGACTAACACTTAATAAACTAGTTTTAGATATTAAATTGTAGGATTGGCTTTCACCCAGCTATTTTCTTAATTTTTCATAATAAAAGTGAAAACCTTGATGAAGTTGTATTGTGTTTGTAGTTAATTTTGGCAGTTCAGAGTCATTTATAATTTTTATAATAGACGTTTATTTATTTATAGGGATTAAAGGTGATAAACGTTTATAAGTATAACGTTTTCAGTTACAAAAAACTGAGGGTAGGTAAGGAATGCCGCGGGCCCTGTGTTGAAGACCGCTGACTTATATTACAGAGATAAATAATAGAATCCCTCACCTACGCATCAAACCTTTATTAAATGTCGCCGAACTTTCTACCAATGGGTAAATGCAGGTAAAATTCTAAAAATATATTTACAACAAGCCCTTTGATTCGTAAATACTTATAAATATACTATGTACTACATATGTAGATACTGAAATCTTGGCATAAGGCAATTTTGTTAACTTTGTCACTTTGCCAAACTATAGATAATATCATATCCATAGTTAGCATTAAAAATTAAAATCGCAATAATTAGATGTAATTATATACTTTAATATTTATAATTTATGTGTTTAATAGTTATCACGTCTGTACTTGGAAGATAGGTAATAGAAGCATAACAGAAGCAATAACAAAGATTGTTTAAATCTTTGTCTGTTTGAATATAATACTAAAGATATGAAATCGCGAGCTCAGCAAGTTAGTTTTATTTGTTTCCAATATATCATTTAATGGATTTAAAAGAAATTGTATAAGTATAGCAAGAACAAATGTATGTTTAATTACGATGATGGGATATATGTATAATAGTTTGATATTTTCAATGAAGGAAGTCGCGCAGAACGTAGTACTATATAGCGTAGAGTACACAGAAAATAAAATGTTTCTTGGTATAAATTTACGAAAAGCAATACAATATTTTGTACATTGAATAAAATATTTGAGTAAAGATATACAAATTAATATATTTATTACAAAATATATGTAATAATATTAAAAAAACATGTCCTCAATATTTCCACAGAACAGACATTACTTTTCTATTCTATGGATATCAACACCGATGTTGTTTTTTTATTCATATAATACATGATGACTACGCCACGTAACCAGCAAATGAAGCAGCCAATGTGTGTATGACAGCTATCCTGTCTCTTGTAATACGTGCCATATACACAGCTTCTCGTAGACAATAATAATAAAACAAAAAATGAATTATTAGAGTGCCGATTTTTTAGCCAATTTATAAAAAAAGAGGTTCTCCTTTCAATTGTATTTTTTCACAATCCCTGCATTAATTAGATAATGGTTATGGCTGTATGGCTGGCTGATGCTGGCTGTGGTTCTTCTTATAATATATTTAAATACATTTTATTGAAAATATAATTATGTCTCTTCATACTTATTAAAAAAGTGTAGACATAGAGGGAAACTTTTTGAGAGTAGAGAGTTTTCTAAACAGTACAAATTTTATGAAATCGGCTGTCAGTGCAGACAACTATTTAAATTAGGGGTAAAAATTACGAACAATAAATAAATATGATACAAAAATAATAGTTAATAAGTTAATAGAATAAAAAAATATATTAAGAAATAACAAAACATAAAACAGTCAAAGGAACTATTACAAACATCCATAATGTTAAAATACAGCACACCATTATGTAGTATTTCTTTCAATACAGATTACGAAATTACTTGAAGGTCGCTTACGTTATGTTTTAGCGGGAATGTTATGCTACGGATTTACGGAGTGCTTTAACCACAGATTGTATATTAGTTACTACGTAACGACAACTTTTATGTACGTAGCGACTACGTGTTTTGGTGTCTTTCTTGTTTATGAAATGAAATTATAAACCAAAATTAATGAAGCCATTTAAATAACACCTGAAAATAAGAAAAAAAATTACAACCACTGAACATGTTACAATGGCTTTTCTCGGGTAATTTGGAATAATGTTCTAGACTATCTAGGAACTGGATCATTCAGAAAGACTAGAAAGAAAATATTGATAGAGGGCGAAAATAAACGGTGAAAAATAAAATTATTTTAAAGAGATCGGGATAATTGTGCCTAAAAGAAAAGTGTATTTTTAAACGGTGTCAGGTTTGCGCCACTAGGAACAAAATCTTTTTTGTATGAATCTAACAATTTTTTTCAGCATATTTTCAAGCATTTCATTGCATTGATTCTTATAGGTTTTGTCTGCATATGCTTATGCCTTAATTTAGTTTGTTTTTATTTAATTTGTTTTATTGCTCATGTAAGCATGTACCCTATAATTTCACTGCCATATCTCACCCTCCAATCGAAACACAGCTTACAAAAAAGCACACTGCTTTGTGGCAGCATATAATGTGCATGACAGAAGTACTCACGACGACGCGACAGTACACAAAGTCTACTTTTGGTTATATATATTTCATTCAATAGTTTATTACATAAAATTCTTATGAAACAAACAGGAGAAAATGTTGGAGATGAAGACTATACGAGGGACCCTCGTATAGTCTTCATCTCCAGGTCTACATCTTCAGGTTTCCATTATGTTATAATATTTTATTTGTTACTTGCGTATGCGAAGTTTCAATAGAAAGGGTACAGAGGTGAAAACTCCTTCCTTATTTTTTTCTATATTCCCACACCTATAGATATTTGTTTTATAATCAAATGCATCAAACATTGAGGTATATTGTTAAAACAGAAAAATAAAAATGTAGCGATAAACAAGTATCAGTCCACCTGATGGCGCTAGCGTAGCCTTTTGATGATAGCAACACTAGATATTTTTATCTGTATTATTTCTTCAATCTTATCTCGGTTATCACTGAACCAATTTTGATGTGACTTGCAATAAATTGAAGTGTATTCAATATTGTTTATTAGACTGTTGTCACAAATTACAAGTAGCCGAGGTAGATTTTGTAAAAGTCAGTCTTCATGTCAGCTGCCAAGGTGCTTGCTTTAGAAAAGGCAGTGAAAATACTGGTTAAGATATATGTATCGTTCTCCTCCGCAACGCATGAGCGGTATCATGTGATAACGTAATGTTAGTAGTGCTATTTCATACTTACCGTCAGGTCGATACACCTAATGGTAAATGCTGGAGGGAAAGGGATTGTTAGTAATGTGGACTCTCGACCCCATTGCTAGCAATGTACCATGTCAGATTGCCCTCCACGCGGTTCCCCCTAGAAACCATCGTGATAAATTCCAGATGAATTTGTCACGATGGGCTAACTGACCTGAACTCATTCTCATCTTATCATCTTCCACTGGGGCCCTGCTAGCGTAAACCGTTAGCGCAGGCGGATGCACCATTTCATTATAATATACAAAAAGAAATGGTAAATGCTGACTATCCGCTACTTTGTTTCGTAAATAGCTACTTTGTCATTCCAATTATATAAAAAAATACTGGAACGTTATATAAATTAACATCCAATATCAAACACAATCCAAAGGCTTATTATATAGGTACAGCCAAATTATATACGCAATATTATAATAATTTTGCAATGACATCAGACTTCAGTAAAATTTCAGGCTAGATGGGATATATGCACCGCAATGTTCCTCATATTCTCACAAATTTGAATTTAAAAAAGTATCTATATTATTATAAACATGTACAATAAATATTTGAAAAGAACACGACCTGAGTTTCTTTTCAGTTCTTATCATCTCGAAAACATTTCAAAATTAACGGTAGATTTGACATATCTATCGACAATACCATAACAGCCTGTAATAGACCTAAATGAATAAAGACAATGTGAATTGAATTGAAAAATGAGAAAATAGTTATTGAACAAATGTAGTGGTAAAAGTGTAGGTGAAGGGCTGAAGAGTGCCCAGTAGAGTGCCTTGGAAGACACCTACGTCCAGGAGTAGACTGCACTGGACTGAATAAAGCATAAGATTTAATTATAGAATAGAAGGTATATGCCAAGACCGTTGGGTTTACAAAATATACTATGATAAACTTCTACATTTCTATACTTATTTGATACCATTTAACTGTACTTGTTACGTGTGTTAAGATAGGTGGATTGTCACTTATTATCATGGGGTATTATTGCTATTTTAGTTTGAAAAAAGAGAGCAGTGTAGGTAGATATAGTGTTTGTAACTGAATTATATGAAAGTAAAGTGTAAACATCTGTAAAGGAAAAACAAATCTATACTACATATACCTAACTACATTACAATTTGATATATGTAAATGAATCAAAATGACCTTATAATTAACAATTTGATAAAATATAGTTGAACTTTAATTTGTATATATGTATATTTTAATTTAGGCGGTGTATGTCTGTTTTTATACGATTAAAAAAGACGGGAGACAGCAATATAGAGAATTTATTTACTTGTTATGTCAACATTTCGCTAACATTTAAATCCGATGTTGTAGGGGTACGTATAGGAAAGCTCCAGAAAATAACCACAATAGTTTGAAGGGGGAATGCGTGGAGGTCGACCTTGTCACATTGCTAACAACTAGTCCCCATTAGGGGAAGGGGATTGTTAGTAATATGGATTAATAATCCTATTTCTAGCAATGTACCATGGCAGGTTGACCTCCAGGCGGTATCCCCCGAAAAGCATCATGTTAATTTCTTGGTGAATTTGCCACGATACCCTAACTCACCTCATACTCATCTAATCATCCTCCACTCCTTTGGTGCAAGCGAGGGCGCCATTCCAGTATCATTCCTTAAAAATGTAGCAAGGTGGGGGAATGGGATCGTTAGTAATGTCTAATAAACTCATTGTGAGCAATGTACCATGTCAGATTGCCCTCCACGCGGTTCCCCTTGGAACCCATCGTGATAAGTACCTGGTGAATTTTGCCATTATGGGCTAACTGACCTGAATTCGTACGATTTATAGATTTAAGCAAATCATTGGTTTCAATCATTAATAAATAAATTACAAAAAATATTTTACCTATTTTCTTAATAAAAGGGGCAAATACATATTCAGCATATTACTTTCAAAACTAAAAAATACTGCACAAGCGAAAGTTGACGCAGGAAATATCATACAGTCATTTGTACAAATAAATAACATTCAAGTGTCTGTTTGTAATTTCAAATTAACAGCTTTTCACTAAATGCATATGAGAGTATGCGGTACTTACATCAGAAAATAATCTTAAAAAGTTATGTCTGTATATCTGTTTGTTCTTGCTAAGCTCTAAAACGGGTGGATCGATTTAGACAGGGCTTTCACTAGCAAATAGCTAATTTTATAAGGAGTAACTTAGTTTTATTTATGTAATAAAAAAAGGTAAATGGCTCACGAGCGAAGACGCGGGTTATTGATAGCAATAAATGTATATTTTATATTGTAAATGAAAATATATTTTTAGTACAATATACTATATTGTAGCTACAAAATAGTTGAAAAAATCAGTCTCAAAATAATTGATTACTTTTTACCTGGTATACCTATAATATTCAATACGAGCTCAGTGACCAGGCGATTTAGCACACCGTCTTATTTATGATGGTCGCGGGTTTGATTCTCGTATGATACAAATTAAAACGGTATTAATAAGTTGATTTTATTTTTAATCAATTTATAATTAACCAACAAGGTCTATTGGATGGTACAGTGCCAGCAATGACGCCAATCCCATTACTAACAATCCCCTCCTCTACTTATTTGGATTTTTTATGAAGGGTAATGGTATGGTGGTGTACCCACCTGCGATAACGGTTTACGTTGGCGGGGCACTAGTGGAGAATGATAAAATGAACACGAGGTCAGGTCATCTAACTAACAAATTTGTCCCGATGACAAATATATCATGAATTTATCATGATGGTTTCCAGGGAGAACCGCGTTGAATTCAACCTGACATGATACATTGTTAGTAATGGGTTCAATAGTCCATATTACTGACAATCCCCTATCCCCCTTTATTTGTAGTTTGTAAGAAGATTAATATTCTTACGTACTCGTAATATTAATGAGAAGTCTAGTCAGTGGTCTAGAGCACAGTAAAAATAGTGTAGGTACTTGTATATAAAGCCGCCATTGGTGTTTAATATTGTATGAGACTCTACTAATCACATTACGCAGTTCAATATGCTCGTAGCGTTATATTGTATTATTTGTGGTCAGACGGAGCGTGTTTATGTTTTTAAAGTTCATTGTGCCGCCATACAATCACATAATGGAAAATCCTGAAAACTCCACTGCGGAAATTCGCACGAGCGCTGGCGAATTGGCAGCGCGACATCTATGAGCGGCCGCGGAAACTTCAGCGAACTGAAATGCGTTTACGATCTTTATTATCGGCAGCCGTAATACTACAAATTTAGTTCTTGCCCTACAAAAAGCGTTTCTCCTTTCATAATAATAAGAATACGCCGAGTCGAGTCGGTCGGTTGGCTCGCTCGCTCGTTCAATATAACTACACGGACAGGGCATACGTCCACTGTGTGCGTGGGTGTGGTGGGCTGTGTGCGTGGGTCGGGCGCCCCCCCTCCCTCGCTCCCTCGCCGCGCGCCTTTCGCCCGCTCGCCTCCACCGCTCCGTTGCCGCGCGTCGAACCTAGCTTTCTGTTCACTTATATAACGCTATACATAAACGCAGTAAATAATGTATATACTGGAATAGCGAACTGTGTGCTGCCACCTAGCGGTGGAGCCCCGTAACATCGCCATCGCGGAGTATACCCGACTGTTTTCAGATTTTTCTTTCATGCTACATTATGCTCATGGACCATTACATTATTATAGCTACGGTTAGTTATAGAATGGTTTTCTATGCTTTTGTTCCTTATTCATAGACGGTTTTGCCTTGTCGTTCACTTTAGTCGCGTTACTACTAATCTGTTTTGAGACATTGACTTACCTTTAGTGCAAAATGTTAATTTTGACATTGACTGAGAAATAATTTAGTTAATGGGATTTGCAGTTAATAACTGAGTCATGAACAGCTCTATTTATATGCATTGATGTTCTTTTTTAATCTGTGATTTTTTATTCTGTGAAATGTAATCGATATTTGTGTATAGACAAATATCGATAGGCTATAGCCTCCATAAAGTTTACTATTACCTTTATTGGGTTAAGAATTATCTATCTCCGACACTAATGAACAGCTAAGTCAATAAAATTAATTAATTAATTAATAAGTTACCAGAGGTCAGGTAAAGCAAAGTATCTGACGAATATGAAGTCAAAATAATTTCGATACATTGTATTATGAATGTATATATATATAATTAATTCAAAATTTATTTCTTGGTTTACATATAAGGAATCTATGTATAATGATTTTCAAATCATTCATTGATGATTCAACGCTTTCATTCTAGATGGTAGCACTGCAAACATGGCGGGAAAACTGCATTTATGTTTGAGTCTGCTAACTCAGTGATTACCTTTCTCGACTCACACGATTGAGGTCGCAACTTCGCTAATCAAGACGAAATCAATATATATATATATATATATATTATATTCACAAATATTTTTCTTATCTAGAGATAAATACTAACTGTAACTATTGTTTTTTAAAAAATATGCTCAAAGTAATCACGTATTTATTAAGTGTTGAAATGTTGTGTAATTGTTTCATTTTACTCGTAATAAACAATCATATAGCGTAATTTTTACATTATAAAGTATATGATTCACTCTACCACAAAATAGTAAAATAATATATAAATATTACCATCCAAATTGTATGCTATAGTCTACTGCTGAATATAATATCTACAGTCTCCCTCTGTAACTTTTGTAAGGTCGTTGCTCCTCCAGTCGTGCCCTAAACAGGCGACACGTGAACTGAAGGGAAGCTTTTATAGAGAAGGACAGAAAAACTATGACTGGCAAACAATTTGACGGCACAGATCCATGGAAAGTGGTCCAGATAGAAAGTGACCGTCAACTGCAGACATTACCAACACTTTGAACTTCTAAAGACGAGTCCACAGTGCATAAATAAAAAAATAACCAAACCGTGTTCCTTTTTTTAGTATTTGGAAACGAGCGGAGCACCAGTGTAGGATGATAAGACGAGTATGAGGTCAGGTCAGTTAGTTCATCGTAGTAAATGCCACGAATTTATCACGATGGTTTCCAAGGGAATCACATGGAGGTCAACCTGACATGGTACATTGCTAGCAATGGGCTTAGCCCATATTACTAACAATCCTGAATGAAGATCCTGAATGAAAGAAGCTGAAAGACACTATGATCATCACGTTATCGTGTGACACCCTGTACTTTATGTCAGTTATGCGTTCTAATGGGAAGGGCAAAGGCTTATGAGTCTTGTAATTTTAATTACTTTTTTTATTTTACCCTTCAATCGAAATTGCTTACAAAAAAGTCAAGGTATAGACGATTTTATACCTCTACGGTCTTTACCGTTCCATGAATGTAATGACAATATTCACCATAAATTTCATTTGACCCCGTAAGTGAATGGGATGTTATCCATTTCAACATTACATTTCACCGTTCTGTTCGGATCGTAGCTCCCGTTATGATGGCGATGGTTGAAAATCGGTCACAAATAGTAGTAACATTTTTTTCAAACAATTCCTTGTATTAAGCCTTTATAGCTTCACAGGACTAAATTTAAGTCAAAGCCCAAGGAAGGATTTTTGGAGCGTCGGAAGACCAACACCTAGAATATGATGTAGTAGAAATGTTTGGAGAAACTTTGTACCACAAACTACGTTGTGCTGTAGTTTGTACGTAAACTGTGCTGCCCCGCGCGCCTCTCATCTTTGGACGACTAAGGTGTTGGGTGGGTTGGTTGCTAAGGTTGTCTTTAAAGCTGAAGACTTTAGTCGACTCTGAATCACGGAAAAATATGCGCGCACGCACTGCAACTATTCAATATTGACAGAACGAAGCTCACCACTCTTATTTTTCATATTATACAACTACTTTGACCCATTGCTTTCGGAGTCATGTGCCTATAAGTACAGATAAGAGAATATTATATCATCTAGGTATCGCTACTAGGTACATACAATATATTCGGAGGCTTACGATGGTAGAGATTGTTAGTAAAGGGAAATATTCTCTTTTATTGTTAATAAAATACTGTAACATCCACTCAATGCCCAATATTAACCAATCGTGGTTAATGGTAAATTCACATTCACTAGATATTGTAAATGATCTGAATTCATCCGCACTTCATTATTCGTCACTAGTAACTCGTCAGAGTACCATCTGACTATATTACTATTAAATTTAAAGAAACGCGGTAAGTTGGAATAAAAATACCATCTTAAAGTCAAACATTATACAAGATAAGATGACAATGCTTGAAGGGGAATACCACGACGTCACAGTAAACTTATTCTGCAATATACGTATACAGGCGACGATTTTGAGTTTTACAACTTATTTTCCTCAAAAAGACAGATAAAAAATAATTAATTACTTACCTGTAGCGAGTTTCATTTGGGTAATGAAGTGCAGTGTGCACTACACAAAGTCACAATCTGATCTCGCTTGTGTTTGAATGAACAATCATCTAAAGTGATGTCATCGCTGTGGTAGAGTTTATCTATTAGCTGATGGTTTAAATAATGAAAACCTCTCTTAAATATCTATGTTTTATTATTCGAACTAAAAAGACTGACCTTAAATTTACCAAGAATTAACACAGCATTGCAACTAAGCCATATATTTGTCTCATTGTGACGTATGGGGATACTAGTGAATTAGAAGAGATTCCATATAGAAATGTCAATTTAAAGTTTCAAAACTAATGACAGCAGTTTTGAAACTTTATTTGGTTATTTCAATATTATAAAGAAAAGAGAGAAGAATACATCGATACGGGAATTAATTAATATTGTAAAATATTTCATATTCCACTTACAATTAGAATAATTAATTAATTTACCATATAAAAAATGGCGTATAAATGCTTTATTTATTTTATGTTTTTTATTTTTTTAGTAATTGTCATTTTTAATACGTCAGTCCTATCGTACCTTGCACTATAATACAAACAAAAACCACGTATTCATTCAAGAAAGTCATTTATTGTTGTCATGTGATTATTATTAATATATGGCGATTTACAAAAGTACACCCGTACGAATTAGTAGGAATCATAAATGAGAACACTGAAGTAGCCAAATTCATTAGAACTCTATAAATAACAATGTGACAAATATATTATTATAAGGTTTAGTGTTTTAATCAGGGAGTTAGTTTATGTACTAAGAAATAACTCATACTTGGATACACGAATTCTTGTGACTCAAGACACCAGTTTAGTGCCATTTTACGGTACTAGAGGGCGCGCCCCAATACAATCTCGGTACTAATGGTTTTACATATTTCCTTTTTTACAGATTTATCATGAGAATTAAACTATAATTTTTACATGCCTGAAATTGTTTGTATATTTACATAAAAAGTGTCGATAAACCATAAGAATTTCTTATAGTTTCTATGTATACTTACTATTGATAATTATAACATGTACTATTTTTTATATTAAATAGGTTACTGTAAATGCACTTATTAGATATATATGGATTATTAATTTATTTGTATACCTAGGGTTCGTACACAGAAAAGGGTTAAACTAATATATATTCCTTATCATATATAAATCATTATATTAGGTAGAAATAAAACCCATGGTCATCGACAGGTTTGCCAGTATATATGTATGTAGGTATATGTATATATTTATATATTATTATACACTTTAAAAGCATAAAAAATATATGTTTTAATGATTTAAGTAGTATGTGTAATGATTGTAGTCCATATAGTAAATATTATTCTAAGTGCATTGTAATATCATAAGTGCGGGATCGAATGCGCGACGATCCTTCTTTGGCCACCAAACAACATTATACACCATATCCGCCGATTCTGGTTCATCTTTAGAAACGGCTTATATGGAGTATAAGACATGAAATCGATAAATATAATATATGAAAACGACTTCTGCATACGATAATGTTAATATGAACAAGAGTATCACTGTACACAAGCCATATTGCATGTTTTCAATCATACTCAGTGTTACCAGCAAAATTTAAACAAACCCGATATTTGCACCTAAATACCAATAAAAAATAACGAATTTTTTAACGTTGATAATGAAACCATAAAATCACAAAATTACAATTCAACATGGACAACATTTTAATTCAATATTAGAAAGCTATGCCAAAAATAATGTAGTTTAATTAAGCATACAGAAATATGTAGCTAATAAAAATATTCTAAGATCTAATTATTATTGAAAGTTGAAAATCTTATCGTTTACTGTCGAATGACATATTTTTAATTTGTAATATTATTTTATTAGTTTCGAAGCCTACTAATCATCTAGAGACAAATGTCCACCAAAACAAGTGTAAATTCCACCAGTTCTAGCGGCAAAATCACTAAGTTAGCAACACTAAGTCATAGCTCTTTTTGACTCCAAAGTTCGCATGACGTAGTTACGACCACGCGTCTCAATATGTCGCGACCAGATGGCGCTTGTTCCACATCTACTGTTTTTTAACATAGGCCGCGGGAATTTACGCTGAATATCTGCAATGTGTACCAATGGTTAACATGACCATTCATATTCCAAAAATCATATATAGAGATATCTTTTTAATTCATAAAATCTTAAGAATAATTCGATGATTTAAAAAATTCTTTCGTCTGTAAAAAAACTGCACTGTCAGCAAGTAACTTGTTGTGCCCGTGCAAAGCAGGGACGTCCTAGTTAATGAACAAACACAAAACTAAGAATCAATTAGATTTGACACAGTAAAAATAATTCAATTCTATTTTGACTCTACCACTCTACATTCTGCGAAATTGTACTGTTATACTGTATTGCTAATAGACAATATGATTATAACCTACGTTATATTGAATTGCATTTATTAAAAAAAATATTTTTCAAAAATATATTGGTAATTAATTTTGATAATACAAATGTGGGTGTTCGTAAATTCACTGGTCCGTCATGCAAATGGATGAGTATTAATAAAATTGTGCTGTATGTAAGTAAGTACAGATGGAGACTATTCTGAATTGAGTATTTATTATTACTTATTAAATAAAATAACATATTCTGGATATATATGTGGATAATGCTGCGGGATACCGCTAGTAATTGGCACTTGTCATAAAATTATATTATAGGTCCTAAATTATTAAGGTATTGACAGGATTACTTAATGCTTTTCTAATTGCAAACTCATTAGAGTAACTCCTCAGCAGCGCCACCATTACCATGACCCGCGCGGTCACCCAATTCACTAGCCATGGACTTGTTTTGCGAACAGAACTAACTCTATCTATTGTAACGGCTCTACGCGACTCTAAACCTAAAGATCAAGCCATACGGCACCATTCACATCGTTATCACAGCCGCAGTGATAAGACGAACGCGCCGCCAA